AACCTCCGCCTGCTGGGTTCAGGCAATTCTTCTGCCTCAGCTTCCTGAGTAGCTGGGATTACAGGTACGCGCTACCATGCCCAGCTAATTTTTTGTATTTTTAGTAGAGACGGGGCTTCACCATGTTGACCGGGATGATCTCGATCTCTTGACCTCGTGATCCACCCGACTCGGCCTCCCAAAGTGCTGGGATTACAGGCGTGAGCCACCGTAGCAGCTATTTTTAAAATAATCTGCACATCTCGCCCTTTCCACTGTCTTTCTAGTTATTCTTACCTGCAAATTTCTCACCCCTTGTCAAGATTTCAAATTTTTATTCATTCTCCCCTCCACACTCCTCTCTCAACACACACACACACACACACACACACACACACACACACACAGTTTGGCACTGGCACAGCCTAAGTTAATGCTAAGTACAAAATTCAGTGTTGTAAAAAGGTGTGGAAATGAGAAAAAACAGATGCATCAAAAAAGTGAGATCTTTTTCAGGGAATGTAGAATATTGAAAACAAGGATGATCTGCACATTTCAATGGGGCAGGTGGAGAATAGCAGTTGCCAAATCAGTAAACCCTTGATAAATAGCTTTTTTACTGTGATGCAATTATTCCTAATGTAGCAGAATTTTGTATGTGGAAAAAAATCACATATTTCATTTTTGTTCATTTTATGGATAAGGAAGCCATCCCAGAGAAGTAAAATGATTTTCTTTCGGAGGCTGCCTCTCTGACTTTTTGGCCATAGACCTTGAAGCACGGGGCCAGGAGAAGGTGGGAAAGGGTGAAGCCAGGGTCAAGTCTGGGCTGGAACTGGACCATGGGAAGAGTAAACAAGGTCTCCCTCGGAAGCCTGGATTCCTGGACTTACTGAGGCCTGCGTTCATCCCACCAAGTCCAGTAAGAAGCAGCAGAAGAAGGAACATGGCTCGCTGTCTTGGAGCCCTGACGATGAACAGCAGTTAAGACGTTGAGACCTGGAGAGGCGCGGCTCGCGCTAGGCTGAGCGCACGTGAGGAAGCTGCGGAGAGGAAAAGCGCACAGGGGAGAAGGACCAAGCCGTAGGTGATTATAAGCTGCAGGCGGGCAACTGAGCACTCAAGAAGAGCCTCTCAGCCAGTTTATTGTTAAAGAAGAAAGGCTTCCTAATTGTCAATTCTCAGGTGAGGCTTTTGTTTATATCTTACTTAGACCATCCCTTTGTTTTTTTTGTTATTGTTTTTTGTTTTTGTTGTTTGAGACGGAGTCTCACTCTGTCACCCAGGCTGGAGTGCAATGGCATGATCTGGGCTCACTGCAACCTCCGTCTCCCGGTTCAAACGATTCTCCTGCCTCAGCCTCCTGAGTAGCTGGGATTACAGGCGAGCGTCACCATGCCCAGCTAGTTTTTGTATTTTTAGTAGAGACGTGGTTTCACCATGTTGTTAGATCATCGTTTTTTAAATTCTAGTTACAGTGAGGAAAGAAACAAATATAAAAATATTGTGGTTACTGACAGCAATCAAATTTCTTCCCATTATGTTTATATGCCATGTAAACAGTTTAGCCAGGACCAGGCAAAATGCATGTTTGAGAAAATGTTGCAAACGCTGTGACTTTTAACATTTCATGATTGGAGACGCCATTATAGGACAGCTATTGAATGCAGAACAACCCATACGATCCCTGCTTAAATAGATTTCCAACAAATCTTCTCTAATGTCCCAAGCTATTACTGCTACATTCTGTGTAATCCTGCAGTTCCTAGCTTTTACTCTTTATTCAGAAATTTTAAAATTCTGCCTCTGGTAGAAGCAGAACCAGTTTGATTTATTGAGGTCCATAGGCACTCTTTCCTTTGCAAGTCCTAGGACACATCATATTAAATACACAAATACAGTCACATTCCCACATTAAGTGTAAGTTTTCAGTAAAAATGCTGAAAACATGTTCATAAATATGCTTTGAAATTACTTGAATGCAAATCTAAAAGAAGTTATCAACAGAAAAACAGTAACAATCTTTAAAAAAAAAGAACCAAGAGACCAAGAAATAAAGTCACAAGACATGAAATGAATAGTAGAATGGATACCATTGCTTAATGAAGCAGAAATTTTGAATATCAGATTGGCAAACTCTCACAGAAAAAACAATGAAAAAAGTAGGAATGCAAAAATAAAATTAACTTATATGTTAATTGGAAATAGAACTGTCAGTATCTAGAGAATAGCATTTCCCAATAAAACAAAAAATCAAAAAAGGAGGAAATATTTAAAGAAATCGTGGAAAAAGTTTCTGAACATCTAAAAAGTAAGACAATGATCATAGACTGAAAGAATTCAGAGATTACAAACTGGGCATTGAAGAGGAAACACACACTCACACACACACACACACACACACACACACACACACACACACCTGAACTTTAAAATGACAGCAAAGAGAAAATTCTAGAATCTTCCAAAGGAAAGTAACAGATTGCCTACCAAGGAACATGAATCAAATCAACATTCATAGCCATACTGAATACATGAAATCAATGGGTTATTATTATTAAACTGTTAACTGAAAAATTTGAAATATTATTCAAATGCAAAGACAGGAGTTTTAAATTTGTCTTCAATACTTGCAAAGAAAATTTAATGTAAAAATACATATCAGAAAGGCATTTCATAGAAGTAAACACATAATGAGGAAAACAGAAGATTCTATTAAATGAAGTCACAGTAATAGCAATCAAATATCTTTCCAGAATTTGTTTATATATGAGGAAAATTACCAAATCAAATAATGAGAACATGTGTATCTAATAACCTAGAAGCATATTTTTAGAAAATATGACTATGATGGGAAGAATGGAAAGGGGCAATGTCAAAATGATAATGTTCTCAATTTGAAACATTCTAACATGTATTTATGGAAGAAATATCTTTAAAATATTTCAACAAAAATTGATAGGAATATAGGGAAAAACTGGCAAAAGTATCATCAGGGTTGGAGATTGAAACACATCTCATATTATTGGTAGATCAAGCAAGCAAAATTTAACAAAAATACATGAGACTTGGATGACTCAAATAAACATGATCTAATAAACATTTGTACAATTCTAGATAAACTATAGAGAACACACATTCTTCCCAACTACCCATGGAATATTTACAAAATGAACATGTCCTAGGTTTTATAATATTTCACCAATTTTAAAGAATAAGCATGTGATTGAGTTTATATGCTTCCTATTCTATTGATAATCACTATATATTAAGTGAACCACTTAGTCAATTTAACATTAAGGAATAATTGATACAGTGGATTGTAATATATTATCTTACCATTAACTTTTCATTTGCCATGTCCTTTTCTCTCATTTCTTGCCTTCTTTTGGATTGATCATTATGATTTTATTTTCCTACTTTATTGACATGACAGCTATGTAGTTTTTAAATTTTTCTTTTAGTGGTTACCTTAGAATTATAGCATTTACTCAGTATAATCTCCCTATCTTAATGTCTCCTGATTATCAACCTTAATTACATTTGCAAAGTTCCCTCACAGGAACACCTTATTTAGTGTTTGAATAACTAGGGAACAGGAATTTTGGAGGAACATCGTTAGAACTCTGCCTGCAATAATGTCTTCTAGTCCTTTGGACCCTTACCAACTGAGTTTAGATATGATTCTTCAGGTGTCATTCTTTGAGGATGAGGTGGTATGGTGTTTTAACAGGTCTTTAACATGGTGTAAAGGTACAGTCTCCCTGAATCTGCCCTAGTGTATACAAACTTTCCATTTCTGTTGCTAGGTGCTGCTAGAGTGGCAAACAAATTTCACTGAGTCTTTCCATAACCCAAGATGCCTAACCTGAATTAGGTCACATGCGACCTGAAAACCCCTAAAGTTATACGGGTAAATGAGAGTGACATTGAAATGATGCATGAGGTTTATCTCTCCTTACAAGAAATCTCTGGTATCCTAGAACCTCACCTCTTATGAAGTGCTTTTCTAGGAACTTAAAGCTGCTATATGATTTATGGATGGCTCCACCACCCTCACATCCAAATGCATAAGGATGGCAAACACATAGAACACAGTCTGTTGGTATAGATTTAAACAGAAAGATGAAAGCGCTTAGTCAAGTAGGCAGAACTGAAGACAGTACTCATGAAATGTACCTGGACTTTAAAGTTCCATCAGGCTGCTCCTTACAAATTCTGTTACTTGTCTGTGCCTAATGGTTTAGCTAACTTGCCTGGCATTCTAATGGTTGGAGAAATTTTGTCAGCCTTGAGCTGGTCTAATTCTTATACATTCAACTTTCTGACTTTCCTAATAGAATTGAAAAACTAATTTTCCATATGGATGCGCACCAAATTTCTGGAATATACCAACCTTGAACAATAGTGTTGATGTGCAGACAAAACCTATAGACTCTCTGACACGACAAGCACACTGGAAACAATGAAGCAAAGGAGTGAATAAAATGGACATGAAGAAAAGGAGATTGGCTTCTGTGGGACCCAGACAAGGTGATTCCTATAGGAGCTTGAGAACATCTTCAAGTAGCTCATGAGTGTGAAGTGAGCTATAAATTAGCTCTTGCTCCAGGCATCCTCCGTTTCCTAAAAGTATGAACCCTTACTATCACTGACTGATAGATTGCAATGGGCCACTCTTTATGTTACATCCATAAAGCAGAAAGTATGTTATCACTTTGGCTAATTCTAATTTGGTTTATGCAGAAAGCAAATTCTTCAGCAGCTGATTATCCATGATTCCATACTGCCTATTCAGAAAACACTTTTTTGCACCTGTTTTCTGTCTTTAGAGAGGGCATATGTATGCCTGAGGTTGGCAGAGCTAGGCAAAGGATCTAGGCAGTTCAGTTAGATTCAGGAAAGTGAGCCTACATGCATAGGCCAATACATTGGAGAGACTTGCAAATGTAGGGGCTGGAAAAACCACAATTCCACTCTCCAATTCCTCCTGGAGTTAACCTACTGCATGCAAATAGTTGTCATTCTAGCCAAAACATATTGTAGACAAGCACTAGCTGGTTATAGTGTTGGGTGTGAAATCTCTCTTCATCTGTGTCCAAGAGAACCATAAATATATGGAGACATCTCATGTTCACAGATTGGAAGATTTAATATTGTTAAGGTGACAGTACTACCAAAAACTATCTACAGTTTCAATACAGTCCCTATCCAAATCCCAAAGGTGGTTCTGTCATTATCTTTTTTTGTTTGTTTTTGGTGGGTTTTTTTGTTTATTATTTTTGTTTTTTGGAAAAAATAGGAAAATCCATCCTAAAATCCAATTCAGTATTTCTGGATTTCTTCAAAGAATTTTAAATTTATACCAAGTATGTTTGATTACATTAAATGTTGTGAAGAAGTTACTTCTACAATACATTAGTTAAATATCCAGCTTCCAAACGATGAGTTCATGTCCTTTGTAGGGACATGGAAGAACCTGGAAACCATCATTCTCAGCAAACTGACACAAGAACAGAAAATCAAAACCACATGTTCTCACTCATAGGTGGGTGTTGAACAATGAGAACACATGGACACAAGGAGGGGAGCACTACACACTGGGGTCTGTCGGGGGAAATAGGGGAGGGACATCGGGGAGTAGGGAGGAGGGGAGAGATAGCAGGGGAGAAATGCCAGATATAGCTGATGGAGAGGAAGGCAGCAAATCACACTGCCATGTGTGTACCTATGCAACAATCTTGCATGTTCTTCACATGTACCCCAAAACCTAAAATGCAATAAAAAAAAAAATTAAAAAAAATAATTTTCAAAAAAGATCCATAAAACAAGAGTTGGATAATTTTTTAAAGGAATATACTCAGACAATTTTTTTAACTTGATAATGGAAATGAAAAGTCAAGAGAAAGGTAGGAGGGTTGGGGCTATAAAAAAAAAGAGAGAGAGAGAGAGAGAGAAAGGTAGGAATACAATGGTGATTAAATTTCCCAGGAAGCAGAGCAAAAAGACAAAGAGATAGGAAGTAGGGTGTGTATGGATAAAAGAGCCTCCGCCACAGCAGGTCCCAGGCAAAGGTGTAAGATTCAGAAGATCTTAGGACTTTCATAGCCACACTACAAATGACAATATAATGAAGCAAAGTCTTCACAACTCTTAAGGAATGTTATTTCCTACTGAGAATTTTCTGTCCAGCTATCAATCAAGTGCAAGGATATATTAAAGATATTTCAGACATTATATGGCTTGAAAGCTACACCTCTCATGTGACCTTACCTAGGGAGCTAGGAGTAGATGTGTTCCCCCTAAAAGGGAGTAAACCAGAGAAGAGAAAAACATGGTGTCCAGGAAACAGAGGGTTCAAGAGAAGAGAAAAAATAAAGGAAATCGCAAAAAAGGTGGTGAAGGAAGATGCTAGGATGGAACTGTGCACCAGGTGAAAAGGGCAACCAGAATCGGTTACCAGGAGGTCAGGTGCTCCGAGAGGTTTCTTCAAGAAGAAATCGATAGAATTACCTCTTCGTCTGAAAATATCACAGAGAAGCTGAGCTTAGAAAAGAAATGCTGAATGAAAGTTTAATAAGAAATAAATTTGTAGAAATGTAAACATAAGAATAAACAAAACAGACATGAAATCAAGAAAAAATTAAAAATTGTACAAGAAAGAAGTCATCGGCCAGGCGTGGTGGCTCACACCTGTAATACCAGCATTTTGGGAGGCCGAGGTGGGCGGATCATGAGGTCAAGAGATCGAGACCAGCCTGGCCAACATGGTAAAACCCAGTCTCTACTGAAAATGCAAAAATTAGCTGGGTGCGAGCCTGTAGTCCCAGCTACTTGGGAGGCTGAGGAAGGAGAATCACTTGAACCCAGGAGAAAGAGATTCAGTGAGCCAAGATCACGCCACTGCACTCCAATCTGGATGCCAGAGCAAGACAAAAAAAAAAAAAGAAGTCATCATACTTCACCCTATGGCTCCGGGAAGAGGATTTCCATAGTCATAATAATGAAAACCATAACTATGGTACAAGGATGGAAATGCAGGAAGTCAGTCTACTTGTGTGGGGCCAGGAGGATAAAAGAGTAAATTATTTCCCTTCATTTGGGAAGTTAACAAATAATGCCTAAACTTGAAAAATAAATTAAGAATTAGCGTTGGAACCCTTTTACTTATACAAGTAAATACAAGAACCAACTACAAGAGATGAAGAGGCTGCTGGGAGGAGAATGAGAGGGAAACAGAGACGAGAGAGGGTTGGGGAATGGGGGCTGCTGTCGTTCTTAACATTCCTATAACTACATCCATCTTAGTAAAAGAAAAAAAAGATTGCAAATATTTTTATTTGGTTATTCTCTAGTTGCTCTATTCAGCATTTGTATATTTGATTCTGTTTTTATTTTCTACTCATATTAATCACACTTATTTTACAAAAAAAAAAAAATCCAGCTTCCATAAATGGAATCTTCTATCACCATGAAATTACAGAGAGAAATAATTATAATAGAATAGTAAAAGTATTTTACTATTAAAATAGAATTGTAAAAGACTGGAATCTGAAAAGCTTACCTTAGATATTCATCACTTAAAGATAGGATTGGACATATTCTTACAGAAAGCATTTCTGAGATGAGGAACTAGCAGGAAACTGAATGGAAAGAATGCCTTCAGCTTCACAATCTCCTCCTGAGCATCCAGAAACATGTAAGAAGCCTATGAGACTCTTGGCCCTTTCTTGAATTTATGAAAAAACGAAAAGTTCTTTGATATTACGAAATTATGAGGCTCACCAAATATCCAGATTTCTGAAAACCACAAGCAAATACCTGCATGATATGTGTTATGTGTCTAAGAAGTTATTCATGGCAATCTTTACCAATTGCAAAGAATATAGTCGTCCTAAGTGAATCCTACAAATGATAAATGCTTCACTGAAATTAAGGAAGATAGACTGACAATCCATTATTTTCTTATCTTTCTTAAAAACTAACTCGTGTACTTACTGTATGATGGTTTCATTTGAAAACAAAATTGGATACATATAAGGAAGATCATCGTACCCTATTATAATTATCACTTAAAAAAAGAAATGTATTCTAGATTTTCAAATATGCATTTAAATTAAAGCCATAGAATATTTTTATTAGGTAGATTAAAATACACTTACTATTAATATAAATTTTCTGTGGCATAGCAACTAGCTGAACATTTAGTAATAAATTATCATTGAATAATTGATTATAAAACCACAGTCTGAGAGACTGAGACAAAATTATCATACCAGGAATGTTTTCCAATGGAGTGTGAAGGTTTATTTCTATTCTATTTTGGAAGAATTTAGGTTAAAAAAAAAAGTCCTCTAAAACATAAGTAAAATAAAATAAATCCTTCAAAAACATTTGAAGTTTTATTGCACATATTTTATAAATATTTGTACAGTCGAGGTCCTTTGAGCAATTCTCAATTATTCAATTCCCAAATGGCAACTGCTTTGGTTACTAACACATCCTGAAGAAAATGCAGAATTTCATAAATATCTGTTTTTTACAATGCTATATAACATTAATTTGTGGATGTATAACCATTGTATTAACATAGGTTTTCTGCTAGATAAATGTGTAATATATTCGATTTTGCTTCTGCAAGATACGATTTCAAAAATTACCTTCCAAGTCCATACAGCTGTAAATCTGAGTCTGAAATATAATCACATGCTTTAATTGAAGGGTGTATATTATCTATAAGTTCTTATTTTTCCAATAAATAAGGAACTATTTTGACATACTTAAGTATAAGAACGCCATGGAATATTATGCAGCCATCAAAAACGATGAGTTTGGGTCCTTGTAGGGACATGGATGAACGTGGAAACCATCATTCTCAGCAAACTGACAGAAGAGCAGAAGATCAAACACCACATGTTCTCACTCATAGGCAGGTGTTGAACAATGAGAACACATGGACACAGGGAGGGGAGCACTACACACTGGGGTCAGTTGGGGGGAAATAGGGGAGGGATGGTGGGGGGTGGGGAGCTGGGGAGAGATAGCAAGGGGAGAAATGCCAGATGTAGGTGATGGGGAGGAAGACAGCAAATCACACTGCCACGTGTGTACCTATGCAACAATTTTGCATGTTCTTCACATGTACCCCAAAACCTAAAATGCAATAAAATAAATGGGGAAAAAAAAAGAAACATCTTAATAGCATCTAAATTCCCAATGAAAAATGACAATATGACTTCTATTAAGTATGTTGGAAATGGTTTCTAAAGATATATCACACCAGATCTGCTTTTTATCTTTTGAAGTTTTTTTATTATTATTATTTTTAATAGTCTTATTGAAGCAGCACCATTGTTTGGGGTAAATACCCGAGGTTCATCATCTTGCACCAGGGAATTGAGTATGCAGACACAGAAGCAGGTTTAGGAGCAGAGGCTTAATAGGCAAAATAAAAGGGAGAACAGCTCTCTCTCTTATGAGAGAGGGGGCCCTGGAATGGGATTTCCAAAGCACATCGGAGTGCACAGGGTTTTGTAAACAGGCTTGAGGTGGTGGTGTCTGATTTACACAGTGCCCAAAGATTGGTTGGACCAGGTGTGATGTTTATATAATGTGCGGGGAGTTAGTCACCCCACCCTAATCTTGTATTATGCAAATGGGGTCTCTACAGGGCCAGTGCTCTATTACCTGCTCCTTACTGTGCACGTGGCTGACAAGAAAGGGGGACTACCTAGTCCCCAGGCATCTCCTTTCCTATTGGCACAACTGCCAGGATTCACCTGTGCAAGCTTCTAGCTTGCCTTTTTATGTCCTCAGCTCAATTTTACGGGCTGCTCTTTGTTAGAAAAGAAAATGATTTGGGGCTGCTTTTCGTTAAAAGGAAAACCTTACTAAGGACTTCCTTATCCTTACTATCTGTCTAAATAATTTATTCCTAACTCCTATATCACTATGACCTGAATACGTCCTCCCAAAATTCACATGTTGGAGACTCAATTACCAATGTAACAGGACCTTTCAGAGCTGTTTAGGTTATGAGGGCAGCCCTCAAGAATGGGTTAATGCCATCATAAAACAGCTTACGACAGAGACAGTTTGTTCCTTTTATCACTCCTTTCATCCCTTCTGCTAAATGAGGACACAGCTTTTCTCCCATTCAGAAGATGCAGAAACAAGGCATCATCTTGGAAGCAGACAGCGGCCCTCACCATACACCCAAATCTTCCAGTTTTGATCTTGCACTTCCCACCCTCGAGAACTGTGAAAAAAATAAATTTATGTTCTTTATAAATTACCAAGTATCTGATATTTTGTTATAGAAGCACTAAGGTAGTAAGATAGAAATTGATACCAGAGAAGTGGGTTGTTGTTATAACAAGTGCCTAAAACTATGGAAGCAGCTTTGAAACTGGGTAATGGAGGTTAGAACAGTTTTGAAATGAAAAATATATAAGCTAGAAAATGTAGCTATATTGTTGTAAATGGAGCATTTAAAACATTCTGGGGAGAGTTTGAAAGAGAAGAGAGGTAGGAAAAAATCTCATTCTTCATAGATATAGTACTTAAATTGTCATGAACAAGTGGCTGGTAGAAATAAGGACAGTAAAAACTATTCTGATGAGATCTCAGGTGGAAATAAGAAAGAACGTATTAGAAACTAGAGGAAAGACTGACCTTGCTATAAAGTGGCAAATTTGGCTGAATTGTGTCTGTAACCTAGGACTTTGTGGAAGGCAGAACTGAAAAGTGATAAAGTAGGATGTGTGCTGGAAGAAATCACAAAACAGCAAAGTATTGAGGGTGCTATGTGTCTTCTTTCGGTTGGTTGCAGTAAAATGCCAGAGGAGAAAAATTAGTTAAAGGTGGAATTTATAATCAATAGGGAAGCAGGACATAAAGATTTGGGAAATTTTCAGCCTGGCCATCTAAAGAATGAAAAGGCTTGTTAGGGACAGAATACCAAGTGTATGGCCAAATGGAATTCTTGATAAGGAGATTAGCATGGATAGAAGGAAGGAAGATGTCTCCATTGAGACAGTGGAAAATTCCTGTGCAAATTCATAAATGACTCTAAAAACATTTTGGAGATCTTTGAAGCTGCTTTTGTCATCACAGGCCCAGAGTGCCAGGGTTTTGAATGCAGAATGGTTTTAAGGGAGAAGCCTAGGACACCCATGGGTCCTCAGGGTTGGATACCCAGGACCGCCTCAAACCTCTACTCCCTATATTCTTGTGCAGTGCTCCGTGGCCACCTTGGCCACCTCAGCTGTGGCACAAATGGGCCCAGATGGAGCTTGAACCACTTGTCTAGAGGATGTACAGAGTAAAATCTGGCAGCCTCCACATGGTACTGATTCTGTAGGTGTATCCGTGTGATACATCATATCAACAGAATGAAGGATAAGGAACTTATTATTTCAATTGATACTGAAAAAGCATTTGATAAAATTCAACATCAGTTTATGAGAGAAAACATTAAAATATTATGTATAGAAGACACATACCTCAACATAATAAAAGCCATAGACAACAGACCCACAGCTAGTGGGAAACTGAATGGGAAAAACTGAAAGCCTTTTCTCTAAGATCTGGAACATGACAAAGATGCCACTGTCACCACTGTTATTCAACATAGTACTGAGAGTCCTAGCTAGATCAACATTTAAAAAAAAATAGTGGGCATCCAAATTGGAAAGGAAGAAATCAAATTATCCTTGTTTGCATATGATGTGATTATATATTTGGAAAAACCTAGACTCCATAAAAAACCTATTAGAACTGATAAATTCAGTAAACTTGCAGTATACAAAATCAACATACAAAAATCAGTAGCATGTTTATATGCCAACAGTGGGCAATGTGAAAAAGAAATAGAAAGAGTAATACCATCAAAATAGCCACAAATAAAATTAAATGCCTAGGAATTAACTTAACCAAAGAAGCAAAAGATCTCTATAATGAAAACTATAAACACTGATGAAGGAAATTGAAGAGTACTCCAAAAAATTGAAAGATATACCATGTTCATGAACTGGAAAAATCAATATTGTTAACATGTCTGTATTACCCAAAGCAATCTACAAATTCAGTGCAATTCCTATCAATATACCAATAACATTCTTCACAGAAATTGAAAAGAAATTCTAAAATTTATATGGAACCATGAAAGACCCAGAATAGGCTATTCTAAGTAAAAAGAACAAAACTGTAGGAATCACATGACCTGACTTCAGTCTATACTTCAGAGCTATAGTAACCAAAACAGCATAATACTGGCATAAAAATAGACACATAAACACGTAGACCAATGGAACAGAGTAGAGAACCCAGCATCAAATCCACACACCTACAATGAACTCATTTTTGACAAAAGTCCCAAGAACATACACTGAGAAACAGACAGTCTCCAATATATGGTGCTAGGAAAACTGGGTGTCCATAGGCAAGAGAATGAAACTAGAACCCTATCCCTTACTATATACAAAAACCAAATCCAAATGGATTAAAGACTTAAATCTAAGATGTCAAACTATAAGACTACTTCAAGAAAACATTGGGGAAACTTCAGGACATTGTTCTGGGCAAAGATTTTTGAGTAACACTCCACAAGTACAGGC